TTTAAAAAAATTAAAAAAAAAAAAAAAAAAAAAAAAAAAAAAAAAAGTCCAATGTAAAAGCTACCAACGGTTGAGAATAGCTAATTTACTTTGTGAAACATGGCATTACCTGTGCTCATAAATTGCAGCTATGGAAGCAACAATCTGCAGCATAAATCAAAATATAAGAGGTAATATTTAGAAAAAACACTATTTCTCATTTTAATTTGTTCAAGATTTTTGATAAATATCATGAATCAATCAGTTTAGCTCATGCCTTACCATGGATGCAGCAAAAGAACATTTGTAGGCAATCCGTTTGTTCTTTGCTTAGAGGATGACCTGTTACAGAAATCAATGATAAATATACATTGAATTTTATGTTATTGGAGAAAAGAAATTGAATTGAAATAAAAAGCAGATAAGTTTTAAAAATGAAAACTAACAAGAAGGATAGAATGGCAAGAAAGTAGTTTGTTTAAGACATTGATTGAGCTCTGACGAAAGATGCGTCTCATTGAAGAATACTAGAACACCATCTTCAAATTAGGATCTAACAAGGATTAACCATATGCTACTATGGCCACAGGTAAATTAAAATTCTCATTTTGTAAATGTTTCATTAGAATGATATAACCTTACTTAATATACAAATAAAAGAATTACCTTTTTTCTGGTCAAGCATAAAAATTTCCGACAAAAAACAGCAAACCGATTATTCTGTAAAACTTATCCTCGAAATCTCCGTTCGTGCCTACCAATAATCTCGACACGAACACGAACCGTCCTTGAAATGATGAAAACGAGTAGTATCTCTCACAATTATTTCTCTGCCCACAAGCCTGGAGATAAATTTTATGGCAGAATGGCAGTCATTGCAGACTCTAAGGTTCTTCATGATTCTTAGAGTGGTATTCTCCGGAGTACTTATCAGTCCAAACGCAATGGCTATTTTTTCACTGTGATGTCGAAGAATCTGCTCTTTCACCTCGTCCTCAAGGTCATGTAATACTGATTGAGTGTCTGGTATAAAACCCATCTTTTTTATTTCTTTCCAAATCTTCTCCATCATTTTGTAGATATCATCTTTCTGTGGGTGAAGGCCATCTTCGACGCCAAATACATGGACAGTGTTTCGAATCTGAAGCCAACTAAATCCTTGGTCCTTCTTCACTCCCCTATCCTTCATTGACTTTCGAATTCTTGCAGCATCCTCCCATTTTCCACAAGCTGAATATGCATTAGCGAGGGCTAAGTAGGCCCCGCTATTTTCGGGCTCAATTGCGAGCAATCTTTCTGCTGCAACTTTAGCCAGATCAACATTCTTATGAACCCTACAAGCAGACAGAAGAGAACCCCAGCCTACAACATCGGGTTCAATTGGCATGCTTTTTATAAAATCGAATGCTTCTTGAAGCAACCCGGCACGGCCAAACAGGTCAATCATGCAGGAGTAATGGCTCAGGGTGGGTTCAATCTTGTGTACATTTCTCATCAAATTATAGTAGCTCCTTCCCTGATCCACCAATCCCACGTGTGTGCAAGCAGAGAGCACACCGACGTAAGTTATATGATCAGGTTTAATACCAAGCGCAAGCATCGTCTCAAAAAGTTCAACTGATTCTTCTCCAAGGCCGTGTTGAGCTAAGGATATAATCATGGAAGTCCAAGTCACGGTATCTCTTTTCCAGCGCATCAAATTAAATACTTTCTTTGCAGCGGAGATGGATCCACTCTTAGAATACATAGTGATTAGAGCATTGCTCACAGAAACCGACGACACTTCCCCTGATCTTATGGCACTTGAATGAATTTGTTTGCCATGATCCAAAGATGCCAAAGTGGAACTAACACTTAAAACCGCTGACAGGGTATAGTTGTTTGGTTTAGGGCCTTCTCTCACCATCAATCTGAAGAGATCCAGTGCATCATTGTTTAGCCCATTCTGTACATAGCCTACAATCATGGCTGTCCACGCAATCACATCACGGTATTTCAATGAATCAAAGATCTTTCTGGCTGGTTTTATATCCCCAACCTTTATGTATCCATCTAACAGGGCTGTAAAAGCTATAACGTTGACATCTGAAGTCTTGCTTTGCTTTAAAATCCTTTTCGCAATCTCAACCCCACCACATTTGGCATACATCGTTATCAAAGCGTTTTCCACAGCTGTAGAGATTTCAAACGCATTCCTTATCATTCGTGTGTGAATTTGTTTTCCAAGTTCCAACTTCTCAAGGTTGGCACAGGCTGACAAAACGCTTGCCAATGTGAACTTGTCGGGTTTAAAAGGAGAAGCTTTCAGCATGTTTGAGAAGAAAGCGAGTACTTCCGAATCTAGTCTATGCTGATTGTATCCCGTGATAATTACATTCCAAGTAACTACATCTCGTTCAGTCATTTTCTCAAATAGAGAAAGAGCAAGGCCAATACGACCGGATCGCATATGCAAAGAAATCATAGAATTCCAAATCGAAATGTCTTTTGACCTCATCCGATCAAAAACAACCATCGCCATTGTTGGATCCCCGGACTTTGCATACATGTTTAGCAATGAATTCACTACAGACACATAACCACTCAACCCGCTTTTAACAACAAAAGAGTGAACCTTCCTACCGACGTCCAAAGACTCAACGGCAGCACACGAGGCAAGAATGTTAGTAACCGTGAACTGGGTAATTGGAACTTTATCCGAAATCATCTTTACAAACATCCTCATAGCACTACTAAACCGACCCATCTGATTATAACCCACAATCATCACAGTCCAAGAAACAGAATCACGCTCTGGCATTTCTTGGAAAATCTGGAGGGCTTCGTCAAACCTCCCCCGCTTCGCGTACGCTGTGAGAATCGTGTTCCAAGAGAACGTAGTTCTCACAGGCATTTCGTCGAACAAGCGGTGAGCATCCGAAACAGACCTGCTTTTAGCATAAAAATTCATAAGGTTATTCATCAAGAATACGCTCATGTAAATCCCGGATTTGATAATTTGAGCGTGGATTGATTTTCCGGCAAAAGGGTCTCTCAGTTTGAGTCTCGTTTGGAGGTGATAAGCATAGAATTCGGAAGAAAATGCATTAAAAGATGGATTTGGAGCCTTCATGAGGAACACAGACCAGAGTAGAGAGGAAAAAGAAATTACAGACATAAAAGTTTCAACTTTGTTCATGTATAATTCATGGATCTGAATTCATTTCTGGTTGAAAGAGATTTTGATGATGAGGAAAAGAGTTTTGGCGGGAGACTAACTGAAAGTAAAAGGAAAGAGATGAAGCAAACTGATATAGCAGGTGGAAACTGGCCCAGGTTGGGCTTGGTTAGGAAGCCCAATGGGCTGGGCCTGGATGCGCCATATCAAACTCTCTCTGTTTTCCTTGTTTGCTTTTTTTTTTTTTTTTCCTTTCTTTCCTCCCATATGATATTGTAGAAAATTAATTCTTAGATTTTTTTTATCCAATTAATTCTTAGATTTTAAGTTTAAGAAATGCTTTTTAGCAAATATGTATGTGTTAGGGTCAAAATCAGCACCACGATCATCACTGTACACGTGGACAACATTTGGAGAAAAAAGCCTATTTGAATCGACTGAAATCAACCAGAGACCAGATCGATTTGAGACAACTTGAGAAGACTGGCGACATGAAGAATGTAGGGACCGCCGCTAATATTTAAGGAATGAAGATTTTTTGGAGGTCACGAAGATTATCTCAACTAAATCCTATATTAAAAGTACGAAACTGATCAATATAGAAAAGGAAAGATACTAGAGAGCAAATATGAAAATAAGGAAAGGGAAAATCAACTAAGGAAAAGGGAAACTATCCAACCTAAAAGAAAAGGAAAGAAGAAGACCTTCTCCTATAAATAGAGAATGGAGATCATGAATTAGGAAATCTTGGAAAGCTTACATCACGCCCAGACTCTCTCTCTCCCTCCTCCATTGTAATTGTAATTTGTACACGAGATAGTGAAACCCTCAGAGCTCTACAGTAGACGTATTCTGCATTATCAAGGGAACCACTATAAATTCGCGTGTTCATTTATTTTCGCATTTTATGTTCTCGTTCTAGTGCTCTATCGACTCAAATTGACCTGAATCAACTCACCAACACGATCGACTCCCGGAAACGGCCAATAACCTTTTAAATAAATTTAATTGTAGAATCCGACCTCTACAGTATATTAATTGATACCTTAATACTTATGTGGTGAGCGCTCATTCTCTATAACTAACTGATTTGAGTTATTGATGTGAATATTATTTGTAGGATATAGGTTGATCAACGACTAGAGAAATACAACACGACTGTCCTAAACATAGCTCTTTTACCATTCTGTAGTATGAAAAGTGTTAGTCTAGTAACTTCTTTTTTAAGAAACAAAGACGGAAAATTATGAAGGGACCAAAAGCAATATAAACAGCTTATCATAAGTATGCTACTTTTTTTCTACTTAAAAAAGTACGAGGAAGACCGATCAGTCCTAGATTCTAAGATCCCGTCCATTTCACCGATTTGAGTTTATAATTCGAGTTTTGCTACAGTAAAAAGCTCTCAGAAACAGTCACATCTAACTTTTTTGCTACAGTAAAAAGCTCTCACATAAAGTCACATCTCAACTCGAATTAAAAACTCAAATCAGCGAACTAAACGGACCCTAAGCTACTCCTAAGATGTGATTATAGAGGCCCCACACGTTAAGAAATGTCGATATTGAGCCATAATTACTCACATAAGGAGACAAAATGTACCAGTTTAACCCAATCAAGAGCTAATGAACATTGAGTCGATAGCTTGAAAATAGTCTCAAGCGCTCCTCATTTGACTCAAACTTGAGATATCTCATCTATCAAACTACTTGGGAGTAAACACAATGCCACTATGCTAGTTTAGTTGCTTCCATAACCATTTTACCAAACCACAACAGTACTTTTTTTTGTTAAGCAGCATGGTTGCGTGTAAGTTTGCTTTAAGTTCCCATAAAATAGATGGAGAAGTTGAGTTAGAAAACATGGTAAATTGAGAAAACAACTTATTTATTTCAATTCCATTAAGACTAGTTTACAATGTCAAAAACCAGAAGGAAACCCACCCTTTCTAGGGTCGCTCACTGCTACAATCTTTCTGATATGTTTATTTTCTTTGGAAGTTTCTCCATATTGAACTATAAACTGGCAAATAGTCCCACCAGCAAGTCCCTCTAGGACATGGCCTTTCTTTTGAAGGGATTCTCTTATATTTGCAGCAACTTCAATGTGGTCTCCAATCACGGTTGTCCAATTCTCATACTTAACAACATTAGGTATCAGCTGTTTATAGATGAAAAAAAGCATAAAATTAGTAGACAACATATATATATATATATATATATATATATATATATTGACGGATTCAAGATTTGTCTTTGTGAGGTACACATATGGATAAAATTTTTAAGTTAGAACAATAACTTTATACGAAAATTTTTTTTTTTTTTTTTGGTTAAAAGTATTATGCATGTCCTATAAACTCCATCTCCAAGATTATGATGCTTGAAAAGGAATTACCATATACTATGATCCAAAATGGGAGTTGCCCATGATCTGTTAAAAGGTTCTGTTAAAGTTGATTTTCACTTTAGTTTATCATGTACCATCATTAATTTTTCCCTCAAATATGAATCCTCATTAATGATTATAAATTTGCACGATTGTTGATAACTTTGAAGTCAATAAAATGTTTGAAACAAGAAGAGAAAAGGAAACAAATATTAGCCATGTTTTAAGTGGGGCACATTCAAGAAAACCAAATTTTGAGTCAGTGCAGATGGTGACGGAGCCAAAAAAAGATTTTTTTTTTTTTTTTTTTAGTGGGTGCACTATGAAAGAAATTATAGATAGATAATAAATTTCTATTATCAAGTGGGGACATAGTTGTAATTTTTCTTATAAAATTGGGACACAATAACATATTCAATTATTCAGCAGGGGTACGGTGTAATTTTTTTTTTTTTTTGTAAAATTGAGGCATATATATAATTTTAAAAAATTATTGCTAAAAATTCAAATTTTAAAAATTGAGTGGGAGCATATACTCAATTAAATGTGGTTCACCCTTAGGTGCAAATAAAGAAAATTTAAAAACTTTAAGTTTAATTTTTTATAATTTAGTGGTGACAAGAACCCTAACTCGCGCTTACATAACCTGTGTCTAATCAATATAATCATAAGTGTAACCTTTATAGAATAAGAATAAGGCATAAATAACTTCAACAATTTAAAACCCGAAAAGGATAATAGTAACAAATGCCCCAACCACCAACTCTCTAACCCCAATACCTCGTGTAAATGATCTCAGAAAAAGATGCATTTGAGTGTTTAATCTGTTCCACTCACATAGTTTAAAAATTGAGAACATCATAAAACCTATAGTTGTTGTAAAATGTTGGCATTAGCAATATTTACTATCGTAAGAACATCTCTAATGTAATGTTATAATTGATGTGTTAATTATTTTAAATATAAAAAATAATCTTTAATACAATACTATTTGTTGTCCTAAATTTTTCACCAAATATAACATACGGTAAATTTAGTATCTAATTCTCATTGGTTGATATGGTTATTTTTCATTAAATCATTATAACTTTTACTTTTTCAAATTATTTTAAAAATTAAAAATTTACTTTTACAACTTTCAAAACTTAATGTGATTATGATTATTGGAAAAATAGATTTTAATATTTCATATAGTATTATGCATTTAAACAAAAATAAAATAACATATCATATCATATTTTTTAATATCAAATATACAATTGATATTATCATTTGCATTAGATAATTTTAAAATACATGGTAAGGCACAGATAGTATAGAGAGAGAATTTTGGAGAGAGAACCTGATGATAAATCCTTGGAGTCATGATAGAAGAGAAAGGGTCCATTTTCTTGGCAAAATGATTTAAGAGGACCTCACCAACCGCACTAAATATGAAAGTTCCACCGCTTGCACCTAATACAGCTTTAAGTTGATTATCCTGCAGAAGCATATTTATAGAGAAGCAATATGTGATTCTTCTCCAGTAAGAAAAATGTCCATAATATTCAAAAAGTAAGAGTTTTTTCAACCTTTCCTAAAATCTCATGACATCTACTAAGTTGTCTCAAAATAGTCATTTTATTCACTCGACTATCAAAATCTCCATAGAAAAAGGCTCAATTTTCTTCTTAACAATCAATACCTTAACATGTACACATTTCATTAAGATTTTAATAGTCGGATGTACGAGATGACTAATTTGGGACAATTTAGGCCTCGTTCACTTCGCGGATTCGAGTTTCTAATTCGAGCTGAGATATGACATTTTCTGAGACATTTTCACTATAGCAGAAAAAGTTGATATGACATTTTCTGAGAGTTTTTTACTGTAAAAACCTAAACTGAAAAATCGAATCGGTGAAATGAACGAGGCCTTAAAAGATCAAAAACTCGTTTGGATATGTTTTAAAAATCGAGAACCAAAATGAGATTTGAGCAGGGACTAAAAATAAGATGAATCCAAGTTTGAACTCTATTGTATGCTAGCCTCTCTAAGGGACAATAAAGGAATGCAAATCAATTAATCAGAAATGGGATTTATTTCAACTTAATGAGAGAATCTCTTAGGAACATACCTTTAGGACTATAGTAGGTGACATGGATGACAATGGCCTTTTCCCTGGCCTGATGAAATTAGGGGGTGCCGGCGGTTGAATACCGGTCGAAACATTCCCCGGCATGGAGAAATCATCCATTTCATTGTTCAAGATTATTCCAGTGCTTGGTGACATTATTTTTGAACCAAAATATGAATTCACTGTTGTAGTCATGGAGACTGCATTCTCTTGATGATCTATGACAGACAAATGACTGGTACCATGGTCATAGATCTGATTCCACCTGTTACAAAATCAAGGATCTCAAATTAACAACACAAGATTTTACCATAAAATTTTTCAAAACTTTTAGTTATGCCCTATACTGTGAGAAAAATATTGTCCTCCCTATAGATAATTCAAAAAAGTTGTGCCTCAATTTTACAAGAAAATTATAATTGTATCACCACTTTCAATTATTAAAAACATATAACTATATGTCTCCATTCAATAAAATATTGTCAACGGCCCACATTTCACTTGATATCTGCTTTAGACCAGCTGACATGATTTTGTATTTACGTTTTACCACAAGCTAGGGCCTTATACCATTAAGAGATGGCTCTTTAGTTATAAACCATCACTTCTAACATTTTTTTAGTTCCGTGAGACTAAATAACTTACCATTTTTCCGCCCTTTTGTCTCAAGAAATTGTGATTGTCACATTCAATCTCTAAAATAAGTGAATTGCTCATTCACTAGGCTTTACATTTTAATGAATGGTCATACATGCAGTAATTTTGCCATATATTAAAAACCATAGAGAAAAATCATAAAAATGAATCCAACAAAGGACCAATGATTCTATAAAAAGCTTACTTGCCACCATAATGGCCAGGACCAAAGGTCTTGTTGTCGTTTATGGTCTTCCTTAATTCTTCAGCAAATTTAGGAGAGAGGATATCAGAAAGAACTTCAGACAAATCAACAAAGTCAGGATCACCAAGGTTCATTCTCACAGCAAACGTGTGTTTCAAAGCTTCAATTTCTCGGTGGACCCCTAGAGAGCCGGACACTCCAGAAGGAATTCCATATTGGGAAAGAATGTTAAGCATCTGTGGCAACAAAATTGATGAGAAAAGTTAAACAAAAACTGTAGTAAATAGTAGAGTTTTGAAACTAAATTAAGTAAATAATAAATTTTAAAATATTTGAAATAAATAGTAATAAAAAGATTCTTTATTACTGCTATTTAATTCAAATAGTTTTAAAATATGTTATTTACTTCAATTATTTACCGTAAATCTGTTATTTATTTCATTCTCAAAAAGTTAAACAATGAAACTTTCCAAACTGGAGAGTTATATTAACATCCACTGTTTTTACCTAAACCACAGGGACACACCTTTAACCAATACATTATGCGTCAACATATTCTCACCCTTACTTAACCCTTGATAATGTCATTTTTTTACCATTAGAGTGCAGGTTAAAGTCGTGAGTATGCAAAGATCACTTAATTTTTTTTTGTTTTTTTGGCTGACTAAATAAGGATAAAAAAGTCCTTTTAGGTCCTAAATACAGTTGGGATAATTTTTTGATGAAGAGAGTGGTATTTTCAGCATTTAGAAAATATTTAACTGTCAAACCATATTGTTTCGTCAGATTGACTAGCAGAGAGGGTGTCTGTCACTTTTTTAAAAATTCAGGGCGTATTGTTGTAAAATAGATTAGTGACAGTGGCGTCTCTACAATTCAGACAAAATACAAAGGGATTCCAAAAATTAACATAATGAAAATAAAATGAAGCACAGCACAAACAGAAGAGAAAGATCTTTCTTACAAGTATCATCAGAGGACCCCCAGAAGGAGGAGGCATGACGAGTAATTTGAGCCCCATAATGTCTGCAGAGATTGGCCTTCTCAGCTTAACTTGGTATTTTTGCAAGTCCCTCATTGTCAATATACCACCAGCCTTTTGAACATCTCTAACTAAATTTAGTCCAATTGATCCATTATAGAAGGCCCCTACACCGAAATCCGAAATCTTTCGGAGCGTTTGTGCTAGTTTCTTGTTGTGGCAGATGTCACCTACCTTCAAGAGATTGCCATTTGATGTAAAAGTAGTGTTGAGGCCTTCATCTGCAAAGACTGATGATTTGGAGCTTGTCAGCTGCATTTGGAGGTAGGGTGATATCTTAAATCCCGAATGAGCGAGGCGCTCGGCCGGCCTCACGAGCCTCGCCCACGGAAGCCTTCCGTGCTGTTTCCAAGCCTTGTGAAGGCCTGCAAGTTCCCCTGGAACTGCTATTGAGAGACTGCCTTTAGATTTCAGAGAAGCATTGCCAGCATACATGTTCTGATATCAAATAAAAACTTATAAGGATCATTTTTTAAACTAAATATTCAAATGAATTTAAAAACTACTGCAAGGAAGAGTGGAAAAACATTTTATATTTCTCCTGGAAAAGTTCTGAGTGGAATTTCTGGACATAAATATACTCGCCCATGTCTCATACTTAAGGAAGACATGCACATAGAAGACTAATTTAGAGGCAGAATCTCACTGAAAGGTGTAGCAGAAATCGCCTGGTTATCAATCCAATTAGTTATCTAATTTGTTAGGATCAATTTTTAACCAAAAGTATTTGAACTAGTGTAGAAAAACTACTACAAAACTGAATTAGAGTTAAAACAAATAATTCTCCTGTAAAATTTTAGCGTAGAATTTCTAGAAATAAATATTACTAGATATTTATTCAATCAATTTAATCAAGTGGCCCTAAATAATATATGGGGAAATAAAGTATTGTAGATGCCATGGAGCATTTTAGTGAGTTACTAAGAACATTGTACATATGTGTAATCTTTCATTCAAAGAAAGGTTTTCTGGTATGAATTTTTTACTGAACAACTTTCTCTAACTAAATCACGGAAGTAAGCTTCAAATCAGGTAACAACATTGATGATCAAGTTTCAGAAATGAGCAAGGAATTGTCAAAGTAGAAAAAATTTGTTGCCATCGTAAAGATAATATACAATAAATTACACAATAACAATGACAGGCAAAACTTATTAAAGAGAGAGCCACCAATTGAGTGAAGTAAAAGGAGTTAAAATTGACCTCAGAAGCTAGCAAAGGGGCAGTTTCTCTCATGTCATACACTTGTGGCTTCCCACTGGCTAGCCTCACAAGCATGAAGGCTCCTCCACCAATGCCACTCGACGCCGGACTCACAACCCCCAAGCAAAAAGCGGCAGCCACCGCAGCATCCACAGCGTGGCCTCCTTCACGAAGAACGCCCATCCCGATTCGGGAACATCGGCCGTCGTCAGTGGCAACGGCACCATGGCGAGCCTCAATGACCTCTCTTCTGTGTTTGGCGAGGGCAGTGCTTGTGGCTGCTGCGTCAAGGCTTGTGGTTTGGAGCAAAAGTGAAATGAAGAGAACTATAGTGGTCGGCCATAATGACATATTAGCTGCAATAATCAAATTTAACGTTAGCATTTTTCTTTAAAAAAAAAAAAAAATTTGAGAAAACAGGAAAGGAAGAAAAGGATTGCTAAGTAAACTTGGTTGTTATATTATATGATCGCTTACATGTTAGCACCATCAAACTCAACAAGAAGTTCTTAGGTTGATTTTTCTTGAAGATTTTTTTCTTTATCCAAACCAAGGAAAGACTAGCTATCCTTCTCACAAAGTGGCGCAAAAGGAGTATTATGTGTGTGTTGGAAAAATGATGAAAAAAAGTTGGGACCAGTTCACTTTTTGTGAGTAGTTATTTTTGATGAAGAGGTTATTTATAAACAAATCAAGTATTTTTGAGTTTAAGTATTTATGAGTCTTTAAGAAAATGTTTAGTTCATAGATTAAAATCATAATATTAGAATTATTTTTAATTTATGTGTATTTTTTGTGAGAAAAAATACTGTAACAAATCATGAATCATGATTCGAATCGGGGTACGAATCCTCCAACTAAACAACCTCTAAGTACTTTTGTTAGTTTATTATGTTTTTGGTATAATTGTATAGGAAAAATATTAAAATGGGATTTAGTGGCATTTTAGAGTAAAAAATTAGAGCAAAAAACACTCAAAGCCTCACAAGGGCCCACTTGGGCAGAACTACACTAGTCACGCGGTTGTGCCATCGAGGCGCGCGGCCGCACCCCTCTGTGTGCTGTTGATGAATGCTAGGTCATTTTCAGCCATTGATCAATATGAAATGCCAATTTTGGACCCCTGAATGAGTTTGGCTAATATTTTCTCCATGTTTGAGCAAACTTAAGCAAAAAAAAACCCTAATTCTCAACTTGGAGAGAATGAGAGGCACAAAAATTCTTAAAGAGAGAAGGTTAGAGTTGGAGATTCTTGAATAATGCTTGGGAGATATTTTTGAAAATTTGAAGACTTAAAGCTCATCTCCACAAGAGCTTTCTCTTCCTTCTCCCTTTTCTTTTTAGTTTTTTAGTTTTTCTTCTTAAATTTGTGATTTTGGTTATGGATTCCTCTTTGTTGAGCTAGACTTCACATTCTAGGGTTTGATATAGCTTTATTTGAACCATGTTTGATTATCTTGTCAATTGTTAGTTTAAATTTCATTTTAATTTATTTATATTTCTCTATGCTTAATGTTTTTAATTTATGTGGCCAATGAGTTAGATAATTTTAGATTGTGATTTTGATGCTCAAGAGAACTTGATTTCATAGTCTGGAATTGGAAAACATAGTCTAGGTTGTTGTGAGTCCGGGAGGAGATCAACACTTAGATAATCTCGTTGAGAGTCTGGGATATTATGAGACTGAGAGGTGATCAAGACCTTAATTATCGACTAGGATTTCGATTGTTGTGAGGCTGGAAGGCAATCAACATTTAAATTCTAATTTAAGGGCTAAACTTAATGAGTGTATGAGTAAATGAGTTAGATATGAATACCGATTTGGGTATTCATGCATATGACTTCGTTTGACGCTCGGGAGAGGTAGCGAGGTTAGATTAGGTCCATTGATTAATGAATTGAGTAGAATTGGCTAGCATTGGCTTAATAGAATGATCATAGGAATGATAAGTTAAAGTCAAGTACCTAGTATACTTATGCATATAAGTTTTCATATTTTATCTTATTTTTTTTATTTATATTCTTTTGAGTTCTATTTTATTTTATTTAATTCAGTTGCCTAAATAAAGTTAAGTTACGATAATCGCGATACTTACCGGTAATTTAACACCTAGTGGACGTTTGGTTCATGAGTTTAGAATCATGATTCAGAATCATTCTCGATTTACGTGTATTTTTGTAAGAAAAAATATTGTAGCGAGCTACGAGTCATGATCCGAATCATGACACAAATCCTTATTCCAAACACAGCTCTAATCCTTATAGAAACTATACTCACTCACCTTACCTTATATTATTAAAACTTCATACTGTACGCTTATAGACGAATAATTCTCAACCAGCTTTGCCACAATTATTCAGAGCATCACCTTACCTTATATTATTAAAACTTGATGTTGTACGCTTGCGGATGAATAATTCTCAACCAGCTTTGCCATAACTATTCAGAGCATCACCTTTCCTTGTATTAGTAAAACTTGATACTGTACGCTTACGGACGAATAATTCTCAACCAATTTTAACCAATTTTACCACAATTATTCAGAGCATGTCATAAAAACAATGCTCCAAAAGAAAACAAAAAGACAAAAACAAGAAAGTCCTAGGACATGAGAAGACATAAATAATATAGAAGTACTGCCGGCCAGAAAAATAAAATATAAAAATATAAAAATATAAAAAAATATATATATATATATACACACAGAAGTTACTGCCTGATAAATAATATCTTCAAGTCATATGCTTTGCCATTTACTGTCTAATCTGATTACGTGTCCTTTGGTTTACAACGCAGAAAAGTTATAGCTACCACATATATGCAATTATAGAAGTGAATGGTTAGAAGCATTGATGGTGGTGTCGGATGGGATCTCTAAAGTGTGATACCGGTCTAAAATCGTGACTGAGAGCTCCAATAGTACGGAGAAACTGTAATAGGAAGTTTGATTATAGATTTAGAATTATAATTAATAATTTTAATTTTTAAAATTTAAGTTTTTTTTTTTAGAAAAAAATATTATAGAGAATTAAGAATTATGATTTAGAATTAAAGACGAACTCTTGAAACAAATATTTCATTAGCATGTTTGGATCCACTTTTTAAAATGATTTTTACGTATTTTAAAAAATAAAAAAAAATGAAAACGAAACGACGTTTATTTAGTAAATGTTTTGAAAAAAAAATAAAAACGAAAACAGTGAGAATAATTTTTGTGAATGAATTAGAAAATAATTTAAAGTTATTTTCGCTTTTTTATTTTCATTTTTTAATACTTATCAATAATATTACAATATATTAATTAATAAACAAGATTTCACTTTTTTATTATACTCAAAATAATCTCTTAAAAAATCAATCAAATGTAATTTCAGAATCAGTCACATAATAATTCTTAAAACAATCTCATTTTTACTTTTTATTGAAAATTAAATTACTTTAAAACTAATTCCAAACACACCCTAAATTTTCATACACGTTTTTACCTTAGTTCTGAGGATTTATCTTGACGGCATAATATATGGAAAATTAAGAGTAATTACGGCCTTTTTCATTTTACCAATTTGAGTTTTCAATTCTAATTTTGTTACAGTTAAAAGTTTTCACAAAAAGTTACATCTAATTTTTTTCTATTACAATGAAAAGCTCTCACATAAAATTACATCTCAACTTGAATCCACAAACTAAACAAGACTTACCTCAATTTACTCAATTTATCATGGTATCAAAATATTTCATAACATTTCAAATTGATATATATTTTTCATGGATTTTATTCCTAATAAAAATGCAATCATGTTTGACGATTACGCCATGAGGTATGCAAAAGTTCAACATGTATTATTTAAATAAGTTTAGCAACTCCTTAAAACACCTTTTCATGCACAAGAAAAATCTCACTTTAAAACTCTTGTTTTTTTTCAGTTAAAAAATGGAACATACTACTTCAACACCTTAATTTGAACTATTTAGTATTGGTAAAGATAAATGAAAATATGTTTTTTCCATTAATGAAAAACTGGGTCCGTTTAGTTCGCTGATTTGAGTTTTTAATTCGAGTTGAGATGTGACTTTATATGAGAGTTTTTTACTGTAGTAAAAAAGTTAGATGTGACTGTTTATGAGAGCTTTTTACTGTAGTAAAACTCGAATCGGTGAAATGAACGGGACCTGATGTCGTGTTTGAAATTGTTCTTATTTTTTTCACGTTTTTTGAGAACGAAAAAATGAAAATAATTTCAAAACGGCGTTTGGCACAATTAAAAATAAAAAATAAAAATGAAAACGATTTTTTAGTATAAAATGTGAGAGAAATGAAAAATGACTTTTAGTCGTTTTTCATTTTTCGTTTTCATTTTTTCTTCTCTCGAGCAAAGAGATAGAGAGACATTAATTAGTTTTTTATACTGAAAATAATCTATTGATAAAACTACTTAACGCATTTTAAAAAATAATTTATGTTTAAGATTAAAAATATTTTTATTTTTATTTTTATATAAAAAATAAAATTATTTTAAAATGAGTTCTAAACATACCCAAAAATTAATCAAATTCTGTGGAATCTGATGATACCTAGCAGCCAAATCTGACATTTATGGGTTGGAAATCACCAAAATCCAAACAAAACCATCCAAGATTTCTATTAAGTAAATATGACTAATTACACTTTTAGCTGAGCTTGGCAAAAAATTTGCACATAAAAAAGGGTTAGAATGCACGTCACTCGTGACACACGAAAGTGTCTTGACATTCAGTCACATGATTTAGACTATCTTTCTGTGCATGATAACACATGTTTCACCAAGAAAATATAGAATTATCTGCTCAGTTTTACCCCTTTTGACGTCCCTCTAATATTATAATATAACGTACATTAATTAAATTATTATGATGTCGTTCATTTGTGAATTTTATTTTTTAATTTAAATTAAAATGTGATATTTTTTAAAAAATTTTAACTGTAGTAAAAAAAGTTAAATGTGATTTTTTTTAAGAGTTTTTAACTGTAAAAATTTAAAATTAAAAACTCGAATCGATAAAATGAATGAGACTTGTGTCAATTAAAATATCACGCGATATAAACTACTGAAAGACAGAAAAAGTGACATGTAAACTACGTATGCGTTTAAAGTAAGAATCTGTGTTATGATTCAGATCATAATTCGCGACTCACTACAGTATTTTTTTCTCATAAAAATACAAATAAATCAAAAATAATTTTAAATTATAATTCTAAATTCATAAAGCAAACGTCCCATAATCAATAATCGTCTTGAGATGTGAAAAGATGGTGCTTTTTTCGTTCTTTCTTTTCCCCTCAACCAAACAAAGGGCTATCTTATCTCCTTCTCCTTCTGTTTCTTCAAACTTTACGGGCTTATCTTTCTACCGAACACATATAGGCGTTTGGAAAAGAGATTTATATCATGATTTGAATTATGCTTTGTGATTCGTTATAGTATTTTCTTTCATAAAAAATATACATAAAATAAAAATAATTTTAAATTATAATTTTAAATTTATGAATCAAACGTCCCTATAATTATTGGTACGGCGTTAGTAGTTAGTCACACTTTTGACTATCATTGAGTTGATTTTTTTTTTATTTTTTTTCCTCCCTCTTTCTCTTTCGC